AAATTTGCAGAACTCTAAAGTCGCAATAAAGCCGCTTCCAAGGACCAAAGTTGAAACGTCACGGCCTCTGTTGCTTGAATTAAAGCGCGTAAGTAAAAAATTCATGTACTTCTCAGTGAATTTACATCATTTTAATTTCCGAATATTTATCAAAATGGCAAAATTTTTGTTAAAACGTTGTGATTAAAATTTTCAATAAAAATAACGTCAAATTAAAGAATTAAGAAGGTTTCAATATTGAAAAAATGATTTCATTAATTTAAAATTTACCTATATTGAGCATACTAACTATACTAATGTAAAAAAAATAATAATAACAATAACAATAATAATAATAATAATAACAAAACTAAATTGTTAAGTGTATTGTCACTATTAATATGAAAATTGTTATAGATGAAGGATCTTCAGCATGATCACTTGGTACGATTTTACGGTGCATGCGTCGAGCCACCTCACTGCTGTTTACTCACAGAATACTGCCCCAAGGGATCACTGCAGGTTTTACAATCAATTTATTACTAACTATGACATTTTATCAATCATCATATTTCATTACGTATTTACAATCTACAAAGTAGTGAAGCGCATTTGTTAAATTCGTTATTAATTGATAGTTATTGTTCGATTAATCTAACGCCATGACCAATTGATAGAAAAAAATAATGAAAGATTATATTGTTGAATATAATGATATATTGTTGCAGGATATCCTGGAGAACGATCAGATAAAGCTGGACCGAGTGTTTCGAGGCTCTTTGATCCACGATATTGTCAGGGGGATGGCGTACCTCCACGCCTCGGAAGTTAAGAGCCACGGGAATCTAAAGTCCTCGAATTGTGTCGTCGACTCTCGATTTGTACTAAAAATAACTGACTTCGGATTGCACGAATTACGTAAGCCTAGTCCGAGTGATTCCGAAGAAGATAAAGACAGCTATGCTCATTGGAAGAGTAAGTTCAACTTTATTGGCTCATATATTTCGTTCGGGGCAATTAAGTGTCAAAGAGGGATGGTTTTAATTAGTGAGAAAAATCACTTTAATTTGGAAAAGATACAAGCTTTTGAAAAGTCTAAAGAAAAAAAATTACATCGCTCCAAAGATTTTGTATAGTATTACGATTGGTTGTTGGAAGATTAATCATCAATGCCGTAGTGATTTAAGGGGTTAGGTGCAGTTAGAGCTTATTAAAAATTTATTTATTTTTTTTTTATTTTCGCGAAGTGATATCTCGAAAATATTTGCTAATAATTTTAAGTGAAATTCACAGTTGTTGAGTTATAAGTTTTTAAACATTAGAAAAAATGGTCATATCTTTGTTTATATATTTTATATTAATTAAATGTACTCTTCGCAAATCTACTTTAATTGTAAGATGTACAATGATCAAAAATAGTTTCATGTAATTTTTTTTATTTATTTTTCAATTTTAATACAATTGTGTACAGTAATTATTTTTTTTTTATTTTATTTCAGTCAAATTAAAACATAACTTGATCAAAATAAAAATTTAATCAGTATCATAAAAAATAAATATTAAATATGGTTATTTTTCCATACCTCTGACTGCACTTGGCCCTTGAAGGAATTTATTTATTCATTAAAATGAAATAAAAATAAAATAACTAAAAAAAAAAAAAACTTAAAGCTCTGTTGACATATGACGGGGTGTAAAAATAAATAAAGTAAAAAGTAAACCATCGGCGTTGTAGAGCAGCTGTGGACCGCTCCAGAGTTACTGAGAATGGAGCGACCACCGCCCGAGGGCACTCAGAAAGGAGACGTCTACAGCTTCGCCATAATCGTCCACGAGATCGTGGTACGTCAAGGACCATTTTACTTAGGAGAAGACACCAACTATTCCCCAAGGGGTGAGTTTTTCTCAGTTTTTTTAACTGTTATACTTGATGATGTCTGTCCGTTTTTCTCTACTGTCTACTCTCGAGACTCATTTCCTCGCTTTCTATTGTCATTTTTATTATTTTTATCATTATACTATCATACTTTAGTTGCATATTATATACCCCATCATGACGTCGCATTCTATGCAATTCGTTCTATTTATTATGCTACAATGATCTTCATATGAGCGCAAAACTCGGTATGAAAGAAAGAGGAAAAAATAATTTTTATTTTGTATTATGTTAGCGGGACAATAACAACTATTGCTACTCTTCAAAATGTAAGATGTTTGTCAATGCTTCTATAAAATTACTTTTAAATTACTGTACCGATAAATTCAAAAGTACAATCAGTTCGTCTACTTGGAAAAAAACAAAATTTAGATTTAAAACAAGATTTCTTTTTTTTGTACATCGATAATAAATTTTCCAGGTGAATTTATTGAGTTAATTTCTCAGTAAACCATGAGGTAAATTCTTAATCAAGTTGCGAAAAATTTAACTCAGTTTTATTACCGTTAAGCTTCATCACGTCCGCTACTAGAAGCGAGACTTGAATTTTTCACCAATAAATTGGACTGAAAGATTTTCTTTTTGTTACTTGTAATGCAATCGGAAAGATTCCTAAGTTTTTTTTCATCATTAGATTTCCTAATGCATTTTATTGCTTGGAATAGAATTTGCGCTTCGCTCTTAGGAGGTACAAGAAATAAAAACGCGTGATTATAAATGTTTGAAGGTATTGTTTGTCTACAAGCAAAAAACTTGAACTCGTTAATTAATTCAATCGGATTCACGTTGACGTTTATAAAGAGCGAGACTGTTATCACGAATAATCGAGTGGATATTTTTCCAGCTTCCTTGCGATCATTTTATCTCAATAATTCCTCCCTCGCCATTTCCGTACCCGGGTCTGCGTATTATATGATAAATTATCACCGGATTTCTCGCAACGTTCGTTAGCGATCGACGCTAAATATGAAAGTTCGTGAGAAGTTTTTGTATGAGTTTTTGCTTTTGTTTCGTATTCGTGCATGGACAGAAATTTTCTTTGAAATATACTGTTAAATTCATGAGTAAAATTACTAGACTCTACTTTGTTTCTGGGATACTAGAGCACTGTTTTATTATTTATTATTAATACTCGGAGAGAATTTTATGGTAAATACTATCATCAAAAATAAATAAAATTTCGTCTTATTAAATAATTAGTTTTGTTAAATTGCACTGTACTTTTTTAACTATTGACGTTTTTAAAGATATAAGCTCATCCCGATGTTACACCCACCAAGAGCTTTTATTTGAGTACCCACATGCAATATGATATATTTTTCATACATAAATATATATAAATATATGAAAAAATGATGTAGGTACTTGAATGAAAGGTCTTGTTAAGTATAACATCGGGATGAGCTTGTATCTTAAAAAATGTTAATAGTTGACAAGATTCAAGGTCATTCCTTAGTTATGTATCTATAGAGATAGAGCATTTTCGCATGCAGCCTAAATACTTATCATCATAAATTGACTATTAGTGAGAACGATATGGAACCATGAAAAAAAACAACTCTAGGTCAAGACTTTTCGAACGATACCAAATTTAACCATAAAAACCCATTTTATCATATAGATACCCTGGACACAAAATTCTGCTTATTCTCTTAATAATATAGATTCAGTCAATGGAATATTACTTTTTTTGTACTGTTTTTGTGAATAATATAATAAGAATTATAAAAGGATGTGGAATTACGGAATGTTTAAAAATTACTGTGATTTTCACGGTAATTTTAAAACAAAATTTCTTACCGTATCTCCCTTCGAGGAAAAACGAGATATTTTCCGATCGGAAATATCGCAAAATAAACATTTCATCCTGGTTTTAGTGAGATATATTTATAAAGAAGGAATTCTACAGGACAAAGGTCAATGATGGATTTTTATAGCGAAGCAGCTGGCTAAAGTTCACGATAGGTATTTTTAATATTTTTATTATGTGCTTATAAGTTAAGCTTAGACTGCTGTTCTTGAAATTCAAACGGACTCTTAAATTGGAAATTTATTGCATGGATTAGTTGAATAAATGCACATTTAAGTATGAACAAGAGATAGGAAAAAGTTTTTCTGTATAAAATAAGAGGAAGTCTCTGTATTTTTATATGCTGATTAATTAGCGAGTTCCGAATTGCTCAACGAAGATAAAGTTTATCTTGAATTATTCCGGCTTCTCAGGTTACTTAATGGTGAGCTGATGCTTCGATGATATGAAGCTTGCAGTAATGAATGCTTATTCGGCTAAAAATTTAAAGAGTTCTGCACGGATGAAAGAGTTCAAATCTTATTAGAAATTAATTACATATTCATGTTCTAATTCAAACCATTCAAATAGAGTTATCTGAAATTTTAAAATAACAGACAAAAAATGAAGAAAGAATTGGATTATTTTTGATTCGAGGAAGATGTCGAGGTAATTGATGTATTTTAAGAAAATACGAAATAAGTTGATTATACCCCCATGAAAAAAAATATAAAAAATATATATGTCGAAATGCATAAAAAATATATTTTAAATATATTAAAAATCTATAACAAAAATATAAATATATATAAATTATATATAATAAATTTATTTTTGATAACTAACTTTTGACTGATTTTCATATATATTTTATATATTCAAAATATATTTATTTATATTTTTAGCTATGTATTTTTTTATGTATTTTAAGATATGTTTTGAATGTATCTAAAATATCTATGAAAATTAGCCAAAAGTTAGTAATTAAAAATATATTTACTATACATATTTTTTATATATTTTGTTTTCATGGGGGATTATACAATGTTATAAGTTTTCAAATTTGAAATTAAAGATAAAGATTAATATGATCAAAAAAGGAATAATGTGGGTTTAAATAATTTAAATGCAAAGCTTATGTATTATTAATGCTCTTCATACGAGAACCAATAATTTATTGTACAGATACCTAACTAGATTCATGTAAAAAGTTATACAGTCATTTTAAATACAAAACTATTCAGTCTTGGCAGAGACCAGTGGTCTCAGCTCTTTGAGAGAAACGATATTTTTCGTTTAAGCCTCAATCGTAGTTGGTACTGCAGTAGTTTCAGCATCTCTGTGTTCTCGGATGGCCTCAGTGGTAGTTGGTACTTCAGTAGTTTCGGCGTCTCTGCATTCACAGATAGCCTCCACAGTAGTTGGTACTTCAGTAGTTTCAGCGTCTCTGCGTTCATGGATAGCCTCAACAGTGGTTGGTACTTCAGTAGTTTCGGCGTCTCTGCGTTCATGGATAGCCTCAACAGTGGTTGGTACTTCAGTAGTTTCGGCGTCTCTGCGTTCTCGAATAGCTTCAGCAGTGGTTGGAACTTCAGTAGTTTCGGCGTCTCTGCGTTCACTGATAGCCTCAACAGTGGTTGGTACTTCAGTAGTTTCGGCGTCTCTGCGTTCATGGATAGCCTCAACAGTGGTTGGTACTTCAGTAGTTTCGGCGTCTCTGCGTTCATGGATAGCCTCAACAGTGGTTGGAACTTCAGTAGTTTCGGCGTCTCTGCGTTCACTGATAGCCTCAACAGTGGTTGGTACTTCAGTAGTTTTTACTTCTCTGCGTACACGGATGGTCTCGGCATGGTTTAGTTCAAATCCTGAAATAAGATATTTTCTTTTAATAATAGCACAAATAAATTATGTATAGTATAAAATATTTATTGTAACAAAAATTATAGATGTTAACGTTTCCATACTGCCAGTTAAAAATTCAAATTTTAATAAAACACTACTGACAGTATCAATTTTAATTAATTTTCAAAATTTGTTATAATTTTAAAATACTGTGAAAGTTTTTTAAATGATGACGTATGATTTTACTTTCTGAATTTGCATAAAAATAAAAATTTGTTTTCAAAAAAAAATTTTCGGCACTCAAAGCTATTCAGCTTGTTCAAATTTCAATATTTCAAATTAATAAAATCTCAAATTAATACAAACGCAATAATTACGCCCTTATATTACACCACGTGGGTGCTAAATTTACACGAAAAATTTTTGTTGAGCTCAGCTCTAATTCGCTTACAACAAAATTATTTTTAATCTTTAACACATTTCAATTAATTATTTTTAAAAAAATTAAAAAGTTTTTTTAATACAAAATTACAAATTACAAAAAAAAAAAAAAAAAAAAAAAAAAGAAATGTTTTCCGAATTTTTATAAAACTAGAAAATCACATGGTTTTGGAATCACTGCAAATTTAATAGCATAAAATAGTTTTACCTGACGATTCTCTGAACAAAGCCAATGCGGCGACCAGAGCAATGCAGTACATAATCTTCATGTTTAATAAATTAATTACTAACACTTCTTTAACTTGAAATATAAATTGTATGAAATATACTATACTAGCTAAACTTTTGACCACTGTGAATTAGAATTTGGAAATGAGTAGTTGAGTGCTCAAGCCCGTATATAAGCCGGAAAATTTGTCGGGAGGAAGGGATGGTGGGCCATTCTGGACATAGTGCGCCGCACGTTGATTGGTTTTGAAATTGTGCGTCACTATGGCGTCACTTTTTTTTTCTAGCCGTTTTTCGAGGATCCTATACTCGCTTAGCAGGTATAATCCTGCAGACATTTTTTCGAAGTATAACAATAGAATAGAAAATGGTAAAGTTCGTGAAATTTTTATTTTCGTTGAGTCATATCTGAAAATAGATACAATGAAAATACGTGATTTTTAGAGAAAATCCAGGCGTTTTAAATTTTGCTATTGTAGATTTTAGTCTTTAAAATTAATGTACTATTTATTTTGAATAAATAAACGTAAAGATGAGAAATTTTTTTGATTAAAAATCATTTCGACTAAAAAAAAATTTATTTATTAAAACTTTGATATATTAAACAGTAATAACTTTTTTAAATCATTACCAAAAAAAATGAACCAGATTATCTTTGAAGTTATGACTAACGTGTTAGTGAGTCATTTGGAGGAGCTTGTCGAATATTTGATCAATTTTTTTTTTTTTTTAAGTCACGCTTAAATCCCCGTGCAAGAAGATTCATTTTTTAATTTAGAAAAATATCTTGAACTTCGTAATTTTTTTTATTAATTAATAAAAAAAATTCATAACCATTGTTTTTAATAAATTTAAACGTAATTCTCAAAATTTAGTAAAAAAAAATTTGAATAAAAAACCAGCCGTAAAGATTTAACAAAATTATTATTAAATTACAAATGAAAAATTTTAAATACTGTGATAAAAATTTCAATATTCGTTAAAATTTTAGAAGTATTAATAATTCTTTAAATTCACGTACGAAAAATTACAATATTTGAAATGATGATGATTTAAGAAATTCAACAAGAAATCGATTGAAATCTTTGATTTATCATAAGCAGTAATTAAACTTCGAAACACTAATGATAATAATTATTATGATAAAAAAGTACATTAATAATTGTGCAACGCATAGATAAGAAAGTTTTACCACTAAAATGAAATCATCCTTCTTTATCCGTATGGAATTTATACATGCCGCACACAAATGCCGCATATTTTTTTTTTACTTGCAAACATACATATTATATAAGCCGTATAATAGTATATTACACTACAAGGGCAGAAAGTTTGAGATTCTTCTTCTTCATGATGCCCGAGGCGAAGCCGAGGGCATCATGGCACGCAGTTCAGGGCTCTCAAATTTCTGCCCATGTAGTGTATACTAGTTTTCTTACTATGCGGTCGAAAGTACGTTAAAAATTGCGTTGAAAAAAATTGATGCCTGCCCCCGACATTTGCGGCACGAGCGAAGCGAGTGCTGCTGGTCGGGGGGGCAGGCATCAAATACACCTGTCAATAAAGATATTAATATATAATCTATCATATTACTACTTTCTTTTAAGAAAAGATTTTAATTTAATTCAATAATTTTAAAGTTTTAAATATATTATAAATTAATTCTGATATTAAAAATAAAAAAAAAAAAAATATGGCTACGATGAAATCTTCAAGCAGCCATTAAATAAAGGCCAGACTCGGAGACGGCAAACTTTGTAGAGGGAAGCACTTGATTATTTTACTATTATACTGAAGTTAGCTGATAGCTGTCAATTTTTTTAATTTTTATACAAATTATAATGAAAAAAAAGCTTATAAAAATTTCTATTAAAAAATTATTTATAAAAAATTGCTTTTTTAATTTTTTAAAATTTCTACATTTCAATTTTTTTTCTAATTTTTTTTTTGCACTAATTTATTTTTTTTTTTAATTCTAAAATTTATTAAATATCTGCTACTTTAATTTTCATTAAAATGAATATTCATTTTCTGTAATTAACTCAGTTTCAACCTCAAATCATTGACACATAACAAGACCGATACATTCAGATACATTCATAACAATCACAAGTAAGGTTAGGCTTGTAAACATAAGTAATAGAGTGAGCGCGACTACCGACTTTCGGACTTTCTGCCGCCTCGTGTCTCGTTGTCAGTGCATGAATACATTTTTTCGGCTCCCCGTCGTAAAGCGCATGCGCGACTCGACCACGGCATAAATGTCAGGCTTTCTGCAGTGAAATCGCAACAGAAACCCCGTACTTTCGACCAGCGTAGTAAGAAAAAAAAAATTTATGATTACTAAGAAAGTTATAAAAAAATTTTGTGATTTTAAATCTTAAATTTATGATTTATTTAGAAGTCATAAATTTTATGTTGAAAAAAATAAATGCTTTTCGATAAAAACAAAATTAAAAATTAAGAACATCAAATACATTTCAAGATAATATATTATATTTAAATCTATGTATAGAACCCAAAAATATACATGTAAAAGTAAAATTATCGAAAAATCATAAGAAACTTTTTTTGTAGAGCATTTAATTCCCTACCAAAATATGTATCACGCTAGCCAGTACATTGTTATTATGACAAGATAAAAAATTACAAAGTTTGAAAATATTTTTTCCCATATTATTTAAGCAGAAACCAAAAAATTTATATTCGCGATCTCTAAATGTTAATACTAAAAGCTCTAATTTTGAGAAAGTTTATTTTGGCATTCTCTGACTTTATTTCACGATTATTTGAAAAAATAAAATTTTTCGGTTTTTTTTTTTTTTAATGAACAGCCCAATATAATTGTTCTCCGTTGTAATAGTTTCAAATAATTAATAAATTTTAAAAAAATTAGATAACTTTATTACAGTTAGTCCATAATTTCTTAACTAAACTTACAACATAAGTGACAATAATTAATGATAAGCATCATCAAGTAGTACGTGACTAACTACCACTTAGATTTCTATGAATGCATGCGTCTTAGAAGTGCGATAGATAAGATAGAAATCAAATAGTTCTATCGTAAGTACTTTTTAAATTATTTCTCATTATTTTAAGAGAAATAATTTACTAGGAATATTACTCAAAGCTTAATATGATGAAGTATTACTTAAGTTTCAGTAGTAATTAATAAAAATGTTAAACAATATTTATAAACGATGTTGGATAAATATTTGAACGTAATAATCAACAATCAGTTAAGGTCGGTATGCGGGTTACTGCATTGTTTGATGTACGAAATGCAATAGATGATGACGAATGTACGTTTAGTTGCAACTTCCGAATATTCGTCCCACATTTTCTTTCCTTGTCACTCAACTAGAGGCTAGCTGTCTATTTGTCATGCCACGCATTAAAATTATAAAATAGAATTAAAAATGTTTAACTTTTTTCTGAAACAGAAAAATTATTAATTTCAAAATGTTTTATCGTAAATTAAAATTAAAAATGAATAGTTATTGAAAAATAGTAACTATGATTACTTATTCATAGGGTGATGTTTCGTCAGAAAGTTTAGTTTTAGTGATTTAGAGATTTAGTTTTAGTTTTTAGACATATGGGGAAAGATAAGAGGAGTCCAAAAATCCAGAATATTGTGAGCCATTATCTATGGATGGTCCCTTGTTACTCACAATGCGGCGAGAGGATTGTTCTTCAGGTCACTTTTTGTTAGCTTAAGGCTGTGCTGCAGGAGTTCTTACTGACATTCTATAGCCCCTGCAAATAGAAAACTTGGGTGTACTTAAGCTCAGCGAAAAATTTTATTTTATTTATTTTATTCAAGTGAGTTTTTTTTTTCAATTTTCTGTAATTTTCCGTAATATCACGTATTATTTTCCGTAATTGCACCATTAAATGGACTTTGGAGTTGTTAAAATTTTTTGAAGTTACTTTTATAAAGAACATTTACTACTTTTAAACAAATTTTTACCATGTAGCATCGTAAATTGTAGTTGAAAAATATTGAAAGTTTGGTTCTGCATTACGATGTGACGATCGTAAATTTTCAAAAATTTTTTTTTCGTGTAAAACGTATTCAAGTAGGAAAAAAATGTAGATACCACTGGAAATTTATTTTGATGATTTGTTCGTATAATTTTTTTTTTTTTTTTTTTTAGATTACCAACTATTAAAATATTTTAGAAATTATGGGAAAGTTAAATTTTTATAAAAAAAAAATGGCTGTTATAGTTGAGATATATTGACGAACTTTTTGTGGAAAATTTTGTTCCTGAGAGAAAAAGGCGAGAATATTAATATTGACTTATGAAAATAAATTAACCAAGACGTTATAAGTAATTTGAATTTATTAAATTAAATAAACGTCATCGGTTGTAGAGTAACAGCTTTGTAGATTGCGGCAGCTGTTCAAATCTGTAATATTGCAAATTAGTTTTGTGAAGTGAACCGGTTAATTGAGTTTAACTACCGCACAAGTTATTCAGTGATTTTCTTTAAATTTAACACTGATTTGTCAATTTTACACAAAGTATCAGATCATAATCATCATCTCATTTGACAACTTTATACCAAGTATCAGGTCATAATATTTGCTAAGATGCACTCTGTTGGCAATACAATTATAAATGATATTTATTAGCTATGTTTCTTCCGAAAATTGTGAATTATGAATGAAAAAATAATTGGACAAAAATTAAAAAAAAATTTATATAAAAAAATTTGGACATGGAAATATTTGATATTTTGATTATCTATATGATCTATGTAATAATTATTGGTTCTGTAAGTTTGTTCCGTGACATTTATCTATTAAGTAATTTATGATTCATCTTGTGATAAGAATATTATATTCAAAAGTAATATTCGAAAAATAACTAAGCCAATTTTTTTTTCTCACGAAACAAAAGAGAATTTTTCACACAATTTTTTAATATTAATTAATTATTTACAAAAAAATAAAAATTTATCAAAATTTCTTACTGCCGTCTAAATAAATTTCTAGCTTCTTTTACGTCGGTAAAAGTGAGAATAAAGAGTCTCTCTTATCGGCCGTCGTAAATGATGCATGCGAT